CGATTTTCGGACGCCTTTGAACATTATTTACGAGCATCTTAACTTTATTATAATTCAAATTTTATTTCTCTTCAAGCTGTTTGCAAAAATCGTTGTTTAGAAATTTGTACCCAAAAGATAGAGAAGGAAAAATAAAAAACTAAAATAAATAAATACCGAACAAAATCGAAAAAAATTAAGGTGAAAGAGGAAGAAAATTAATTGATGGGAATTTCTTTTTAGTGGTCGATAGTGTGGTGTGGTGTGGTGCATGGGATGCTGCCGGTCTTTGCTCGTTTTAAATATTCAAATAGAAATCGAAAGCGTTTGATTTTTTTTTTTTTTTTTGGTTGGGAAGTTTTATGGTGGAAGACCCTCTACACATATTGCTTCTAATTTGCTGAAGAAGAAACAATGGAGCGTTGGCTTTTGTCGGTGGGGATTACGTAAAACGTATCTGAAGATCAAAAAGAAATTAAATCGAAGCTTCGATGAATAGATGGTTAGGTGGGCTAGCTGGACTAGGGCAGGTTCATTTTCATTTTTAGCAAAAATTAAGTAATAGATTAGGGGTTTTTTTAATTAGTGATTTAATATTTGTTAGTCTTCTGACTGACATTGAAGTAGCTTGCTAGCTTTCCCAACTGATGCTGGATACTCATCCCGCATTGACACATTTCCGATGGCCCCAAAAAATAAAAAATCAGAAAAACAAGCTGTGATCAACAATAACACTAACAATTACAAGCCCTGAACAACAAACCAGAAAAAAAAAAATAACAACTGAAATGATTACCCAAAAGATCAACTACAGGCTGTAATGTTATGACTTTGTTGTAGACATTTCACGCACTCACGTTTTTTAATGCAATCCCATCCCATCCCCGCTCCCTATCCCGTCGTACCTCTTTCAATGAAAAACCGCAGAGCTTCCCCTTACCCTTACCCTTTTTTTTATGACCGCAAGCGTAGTGCTTATATATATATTTTTTAATACCATCATTGCGGCTGGCGGTGGGGCGGCAGCAACAACAATTAAAAACAAAACAAATATAAATTTTTACAAGTCTAGAGGCTTGTGTGCCTATCCGATTTCAAACCTTTATTCGACTTTCAAATAAAAAACACAAAAATAATGTACAAGGGCCTAATCGCAATCCCAATCCCTATAGGACTTGCCAGAGACTGGACTTCTAATGCATTTAATGAGTCATTTAATGGGCCTTTCGAACATTAAAGTTAAAGGGCAATCTGCAGGGCTCTAAAGGTTTAATAAAAATTAAAAAAATAAAATAAAAATAAAAAATAGTCTTGAATATAATTTTTTTTTTGACTTTTATTTTGATTTCTGAGTCATTCAACTCGAAACTTTCGCAGGCCGAAGACTTTCTTTCAAAAATTTGAAATACTCGTGCGTCGAAGAGTCATCCACCACCATAAGCCTTTTGGCTAAATAACCACCCCTCCCCAACCCCCTCTTTTTGGGTGGGTGAAACCGATATTAGCTGATCGGAATAGTTAATTAAGGCATACGGCGACATATGCTAATGTGGTTCGAATGGGCATTTGTCAGTCTATCTCTCTCTCTCTTTCTCTAGCTCTTTCTGGCTTATACTACTACTGTAGCCACCACCCAATGTGGCCGAAAGAGCCGTAAGCCAAAGCCGGAAAGAGCCAAAAAGACGGATGTATGTGAGCCACTGACGGGCACAAGCGGATGATCCGCAGATGGGTGGAAATTATATGTAATTATAGAGAAAAGAGGGGGGCGGAGGGGTGGGTGGCAGCTATATGGCCAATAATTGTTACCAGACTTCAAGTTGGCTAATGCCAATGGAAAGCTTTTCGGGTGTTTCTTCATTAGAATTCACTTTCCAAATGGAAAATAGTTAAATTTTAATTTAAAAAAATGTTAATTTAAAAATTATAATTAAAATATAAATAAAAAAAATATTATTTTATAATAAATATTAATAAAAACTATAAAACAGTTAGTTTCTGTTCAAAAACCTTAAAAAAAGAATAATTATTTCCATCAAGTTCGTTGCCTAAGTCTTTCGTTTTCTTCAAGAGAACTGCCATGCAGATGAGCTCGATGGTGATGATGATGATCCCTTCACTTGAAATCTTTCATTTCTTCACTCTGGCATGCCAGTCAGGTGCGCTCCCAACAAATTGTTTGTTTATTTCCACCATTTCGAGATACGATTTCTTGCCGCCAAGAATATCAAGAAGGCCGACTGGGCGACTGGGGACTGGGCCTGGGCCTGGGCTTTCTAGTGAAATTGAAAACAAATTTAATAATAAACAGCAACAAATGCAAAGAAAACAGAAGCACCACCACCACCACCACTCTGTTGACAAAATTTCACTTTCAGGCATTTAATTTTTTTGGGATTTCACAAGTCTGAGGAAGGGGGAGTGGCAGTAGGGAGCTGCAGCCAAATCCAATCTAATTAGGTGCGGAATTAAATGAGATGGGATGGGATGGGTTCTCTGCCCTACGATGAACGATGGGTTTTCCCATGGGCGATGCCTGGCTGGATCCTCACGTTTTCTTGGCCAATCCATAAAAAAAGCTGCTAATGGGAAATTATGTCTGGCCGCCGCATAATGGCCAGGTAATTGCGATCGAAGCGTGTTGGCTTTCGCCTCTAGCGGTAGGGGTAGGGGGAGCAGATGAGTTGGCACAAGGCCCATAAAAGCGGGAAATGGTAATGGGAGAGCTGGAGGATTGCATTAATCAATGGGGCCACTTTGAAAGCCCTATGACGCCCTATGACTATGACGGATTCCAACTAATTTGCTTTTTTTTTTTTCGTCTTGCAGCCAAAGACTAAGCCAAGCTACAGGCCCAAACAGGTAAGTTCATTGGCCAAGACACGGCCTAACGGGGGCCAGACTTCGACAGAATGGAACCAATCCTAAATGATCGAAAGTAACGAATTCTATCTGAAAAATCGCACATCTTATGAGAGGTACGGTTGTCAAGCAGCAAAGCTCTCAGCTCTTAACTGAATGACCGTCAATATTCGTCGGCATTTGGCCAATAATACCAACAAGGACCGTTACACAAAAAAAAAGGTGGCAAATGCCAGCAAAAAAAAACAGAAACTTCATCAAGTTAGGCGGTATGATGATATTTGATTTCTTTGCGAAAAAAATCAAAAAAAAAAAAGAAAAATTAAACTTTATTTGTGACGACCTTAAATTGTTTTTGACTTTGAGGCACTGAAGCCAGCCAGCCAACCAGCCCGTGGGTGTATTATATAGTTTTTATTATAAAAACTCATTGTACAATTGTCGGTTGTTTGCGGCTGATTTGCCAGAGCTAATTAAGTTGTTCGTTCGATTCGTTTGTTTGGGGGGATTATTTAAGTCGAGTGCTTAATATGGCTATTACACTAAACTTGGTCAGTTTTCCTTTCTATTTTTCATGCATTTTTGTATTTAGTTTCTGTGTGTGTTTTTTTTTTTGCACACTCTGGTGGTTTTGTTTGGCTGATTTAAATAAAATGTCTACTAGCCGCCAGTTGGACAGACAACAGAAGTTGCAATAATTTAACAATGTATTTGTTTTATTTTTTTATGCAATCCTTATGATATGGCCAAATCTAGTCAGCTTTTGAAATGTGTAATACATCGGGTTTCTTTTGTTTTTTATTGAGGGTCTTTCAGGTGTTGAGGGATTGCGTTAAAAAATCAGTTACCTTGGAGTGGGTTATACATGGTACTAAGGAGGAGATAAGATATATTTAAAGGTTCTTTTGATTTTTACTTAAAGTGATTTGTCTATAAGATTTCATCTAATCATACTTTTATTTTTAGCAATGTAATACCCGGTACTTCTCTAGCTAGCTTCTTAAGCTTAAAGGATACTGTAATTTTTTGTATCTTTAATCTTGACTATGTAATACCCGGTGCTTCTCAAAATAAATACTATACGCTACCAATAGTTATAGTTTCTATAAACTTTTGGTCCAGCTTGTCTTTATTCTTGACTTCTACTACTACTACTGAACTACCTTCTACTCCTTATGGCAATAAATACTACAAACTCATTGTATCTCTTCCTCAGGATACTGTATCTACTAGAGAGTACTATATGATAATCGGTACTTGTCAAGGCAAAACTAGTATATATTAGAATATTATTGAATCTTCTAGAGAGAACTAGATATATAGTACCCGATACTTTTCCAAAAATAACATAAGAAATACATACATAAGTTTTTCTACCAGTACCTATGTATAGTATCTTCAACCTTTCATTATGGCTTACCCATGTACCTCACTATTTAAAACCCAATACTCCCCTGACTTTTTCTTCCAATTACCCCTTAGTTTCTCTAACCCCTTAGGCTTGTTTTTGGAACCCCCCTTTTTAAGAAACAAAAAGATCAAGTGTCACAACACTGAATACTTGAAAGCTGCCCTTGTTTCGTTATAAGCCCTTATGGAATGGCAGCCGTTCCCCTTTTGGCCAACGAGCCACCCAACCACCCAACCACCCACCTTATAAAGGTGGCCCCAATCCCGGGGCCAAGGTAGAAGACTAGAAGGGAGGCTAGGGGGTTGGCACTTGGCCACAGTGGCGTCGAAAGCATTAGGCACACCATCACCGCCGCGACGGAACTAGCCGGTTTCGTGACGCTCTTAACTCTTCAGTGCTCTTTTGGGTTTTTTTTTTTCGTTTTTGGCACCTGTCGCTGCAACTCTGTCTTGGCCAACTTCTTCGGCTCACGACGTGTTCGGTTGCCGTTGCCGTTGCCGAAGAAACAGCTTTTCGCCGTTTGCACGTCTTGAGCCCCAGAGCCCGAGTTTTCAGTTTCCGAGCCGTTCAATGCGCTGCCAGCCGTCGATAAGAACGCACGCGACTCGCCGGGCAACCCGAAGTCTCTAAACTGAACTGGAAACTGAACTGGAAACTCAAATCTCTGAAGCTTTGAATCTAGAAATTTTAAAAAATTTAAAAACGCGCGCGCGTGTGTTTTCTTCGATGAACAAAACTTTCGAGACAACAAATTTGATTATAAACTAAATATATATATTTAAATATATATTTATATTTTTTATTGATTTTTTTTCATTGAAATTGCCGTGAGAGTGTGCGTGTGGTGCGTGATGTGTTCGGTGGTGGGGCAGCTACTATAGTTCTTCGATCTTCTACTATATATACACATACATCATGTCGTCCAAGAACCAAATGAGCGTCTTCATGGAGAAGATCAACACGGTGAGTGTGGCGTAGTGTGTGAAGATTGAAAACGAATCTGTAGAATTCGCTTCCATTTGAACATCCATCCATCTTCAGTGGGTCTCTGGGTCGTGATCCACATGAACCACAAAAGAGTGCATTTTTTCACACGAATTGGTTTCAGTTAATCTGCTGTTACTAATGGCTGTGCACTGTGCGGAAAATGTGGGGGTATTTTATAGATTTTTAATTATTTATTATATATATTTTTGAAGAGACTATTTAGAGTTTATTGAAGGGTCTTTTTGTAATAGGGTTTTGAATAGTTGAAGTAATGTTTTTATGTTTAGTTATATTTTAGGGTTTTATTTTTATTTATTTCTCTGAGTGTTGTAACCTTTTTTTAAAGATAGTTTAGGAATTGTAAAAAATAGCTTAGCTAACAGATTTTGTAACCTTAGCAAAAGTCAGGTTTTGTTTTGTCTCTAAGGGAGATATTTAACAAAGAATTCAAAGGTTTTCTTATGGATTTTTTAAGGAACTATTAGTATTTATGTTTTGCATTTAAGTTAAAATATTGAAAAGACTTGAATATGTTATTAGTATTATAAATAGATCTTCAAGAAAACTATAATCATTTGAAGGTTAGAAGGTACTAGTTATAAGTTTCTAGTTACTAGTTACTAGGATCTAACTTCTAGCTACTAGCTACTAGTTATTAGTTACTAGTTTCTAGTTTATTAGTACTCCTTAATTAAATGATAAGAATTTTTGTTCTAAATAAATAAAAATATATACTTTTCTCAAGAAAAAATTATGTAACTATGATTTAAAATTAAACTAACAGTTTAAAATATTAAAAAACACTAAATAACCAAAATAGTTTGTATTTAAGCATTTATATTTCAGAATATTAGAGATTCCTTATAAAGGCTTCTTTATATTACTTCTCTTGCTTCTATATAAGTTTTTTTAAGAGCTTAAAAAAAGCCTAAAATAAAAACTAATATTAAAAATTGAAAAAAAGTAGTCTCTTCCAAACTCTAAACCAGATAACTAATACCAGTAGCTTGATTTTAAAACCATAACTTAAGCGAAATGGAAATACAAAATGACTTACCAATTTTTGCACTTAAGAGTTTTCCGCAATTTTTAATATTTATCTTTATTTTTTATGTCTTGAGGGGGGGCATGGGGAGTGGAACAAGGAGAAAAAGAAGCATAAGCATAAGCCGAGCCACAGGTAGGAGAGAGTCGGCTCTCACCTGACCAACAAATTAGCGTCATTTGCATTCAAAAGTGTCGCCTGGCCGCTCATAAATAAAATGAAATTGAAATTTTTGCGCCTCAGTTTTCCCAGTCCCCGATCCCCTCCCCCTATCCACTGCCTATGCACTTGCCACCTAACCCACCTCTTCTACCCTCCCCCCCTCCTACCACGATTGATTCGACGCATTTTTGATTGTAGAGAAATGAAAGTGAAATGTGCGCCCCAATGGAAAAAATTAAGTGCCCTCTCTTTTTTCTTTTTTTTGTTGTAGTTTGTAGTATTTTTAAAAAAATAAACCCCCCTCCCCAGCACAACTGCCCCCTCTTGATTGAGTGGCCAAGACTCAATGAGCTTCAATTGAATGAGCTGACGAAATGGCGCACACCGCATAGCAAACATTAAAAAAAAAATGAAAAACTGAAAAAATTAAATAGAAAAACAAACATAAAAAAGTGCAGCCGTAGATTGGAGAGTATTTGTGAAATAATAATTAATTACCAATCATTTTTGATGAGGAGAAGGAGGTCTTCAGTAAGAGAGCTAAGAGTATCCAAGATATAGGATAGATATTAAAGAAATCCCTCCCAAAAAAAAGAGCTATACTTATAAATAGAACAATAAGAACTGTCAAGGTTGAATAATAATGGAATTAATGGCATTTTTTACACCCCACTGGCATGACACAACACCTTGTTGCTATATTTTTTTTAATGGCAAATGTCATAATACTTGTAGGTATATATATCACTTATAGATCACTTGTCCTACGCTCTGGTGAACCTGTATTTCCTGGCCACTTTCGCCAACTTGACATTCTACGGGCTTGGCCGGGACAGACCTAACTACCTACCTACCTACCCATATGATAGGTAGGTTTCTTGATAGGGGAGTTGGTGTTGAGACTCAGGAATGTGTCTTGAAAGCCTCTTGAAATAATTGTCCAACAATTAAAGCTTTGACAGGCATCTTACTTTTAAATAATTATCAAATGAATCATGATTTAAAGCTTAAAATTAAAAAAAAGACTTTATTTGAATCCTTAACTGTTTTTGGGAAGTCTCTAGAGTCTCTGAGACAGGTTTAAATCGATTAACGGGTAAGAGTTCCGTTGTGACGTCAAACTACCGCAAAGTGTGCTAGAATTTTTTTGGCCAGCTTTTGATCAGGCTTTCACCTGGCTATCGCGATCTTGGCCAATTGCATAATGGCCTTAATGCATTTGTATCTGCAACTGCAACTGCATCCTAAACTGCATCTTAAAACTCAACGGCAACAGCTTCTGCCATACAAACTGGTTCGTCTCGTCTGGCGGCTATGTTGTCTGGTAGTGGGTCTTTCGATCGTTATATCTCTTATATATATGTTTATGACGTAAGCCGGCGGCGAATCCAGCAGCAAAGACTCCAATTCTGAGTGACTGAGTGACTGACATTGGCCTAGGCCACTGGACTGGATACTCAAGAGCACGAGCAGATCATGGTATTTGGGGCGTTACACCTTCGTCTATAAAGATCTTTGTTTAATGCGCCATTTGGAGAGGAGATAGTAGATCTGGAATATAGAATCTAGAATCTGTAATCTATATTCCAGTGAAATCCTAGACAGACAAGGTGACTTTTGTGGGTAGACCACATCAAAGGCCAGTGTTTAGACTCACTTCCCGCTAACGGATCGGTGTCTTTATTCGATTCGTACGAACGGGAAGCTCTGTGACCCATATAGTCTACAGCCTATTCCTCCTATTCCAACCCCCCACCCCCCACATGACCAAATACAATTTTTTGGTTTAAACTTTAAGCCAAATACGGAAGCCATGTAATGCTAATGAATCGAATGGCTCTACCAACCACATGGCACATGACCAAAAAAAAAAAAAAAACTACAAACTAGACTGGAAAGTGTGTATGGTGTGGGGGCTTTCTGTAATAATTTCCTGTCTTTTGGCTGATTTGCATGTGGCGAGAGAGAGAGGGGGGGAGGGGGAGACCAGCCGGCAGGCAGGTTTGACTTACTCAATCAAAACTAATGGCAAAAAGATACAAAAGTATCTGCATGTAATGCGATCCATTTGCGGGCCCCCTACGCTACAGCCTTTAGAGAAAGTTTATCTCCAAAAAAATATATATCTTTATCTCGTGATCTTGTGATAAAGATCTTATCTTTAGAGACCTCTATTTTGGCAGAACCTTATCTTATCCGATCTGTCAGTTTTGTGGAAGATGTGAAAGAGGATGGAAGTCATAAGGCCGCCGCCGCGCAAAAACAAGGTAAAGGATAGCCAGGGGTTAAAGGGTCAGCAAGCCAAAAACTTTCCACACACAACCTAGCGAGGAGAAATTGCCAACTTAATTTACGGCCAATAGAGGAGGAGGGCCTAAAGAGGGGTCTTAGCTGGGCATCACGATCTATGCGATCTTCTGCTTTGTTTTTCCTTTAAAATACCTCTACTCCCCCCCCAGTTAGGGGGCGTATACTTACCTGCAAAAATTGCCGTAGTGGACGGTATTTCACGTCCCCATGGCGGGGTATTGGTTAAAGTTTTCAACTAGCAATAACCGCACCTCAGTAGAACTTCATCGGTTACGGTATTGCCACTGCGCAAAAATTACACGCACGAGTTATTCACATTAGGAATAATCGCAGAGGTCAACCCAACCGAGGTGCAATGGCCAGGTCTCACTCCGGAGGAACCGCCTTCGTGATCACGGTTAACCTCTACGCCAGGTAAGTACGCCAGGTCGTAGCTAGTTGCTACGATAAACATTTTCACTTTCGTTTTCAATTCTTTTTCTTTTTTTTTGTGTTTTTTTGGGGTTTTGTCTTTTCAATTTGTGTGTTTTGGGGTCTCCCCCTCGATTCCACCAGCCAATATAATCACAATAATCATGGTAAGCGGCCAGTCAGTCAGCCAAAAAAACAGGTTGACCGTAAAGAGTTTCTTGGCCGGATGCCCCAGCCGCAGACTCCCCGAGTCTCTTTTGGATTTTTCGGATGCCAAACGAAAGTGAAAACATTCGCCAAGAAGTCCAACAAGACCGGCTGGTCTCTGAAATAAAAAAAATTGAATTTAAATAAATTTCGTATGTTAATTGCAGTTCCCATCCCATCGGTGGACTCGCCGGTGAAAAATTGAAATCGAAACTAAAACCGAAACTGTAAATAATCAAGTTTTTCCTTCAGTCTTTGGTTTTTTTTTTTTTTTGCGAATACCACCATGGCTTGGCTTACTTGAATTAATGAGGGTCAAGATACTTGGAGGTTTTGCTTTCAACTTTTGCTTTCTACCCAACACCTCGACTCTCGACTCGATCAGTGATCAGTGATCAGCTTTTTTTTTTTTTGTGATTTTTTGGTGATCAGAAAAACAGCTTCCCAGGCACGTGGCCATAACAAGTGAAGCTAAATGAAGGAAAAAGCCATTCAATAGGCCATCTTGCAGTCATGACCCCCAAGGTGATGGAGTTTGGCAGTTCTCCAATCTCTGACTCATTTCTAAGATACTCATACTCGATCTTCAAAGTACAAGCCTCCATTTAGGCAAATTAAATTGCCAAAGCAAAAGTTTGTAAAGAAACTTGTTTTGAGGTTTTCTTGGAGACTTTTCTTTTCAAAGCCGGCTTTACATATTTTTTTTTCTTTTACTCTTTAGCTTGGCATTGTTTTGAATTAATAATTTATATCGATTTTTTATAAGAGCCCGCGGCGCACATCAATTGATTTAACGGATTAGCATACCTCTCTCCCCAACATACATATAATATATGTATGT